AAAAAATTTTGGGGAAAAAAAAAAAATTTTTTGGGGGGGAAAAAAAAAAAAAGGAAAGCCAAAAAAAAGGGGGGGAGAAAAAAGGAAAATTTTTTGGGGTTTAAAAAAAAAAAAAAAAAGTAAAAAAGGGGGGGGGAAAAAAATTTTTTTGGGGGGCCCCAAAAAAAAATTAAAAAAAAGGGGGAAAAAAAAAAGGGGGGGGAAAAAAAAATTTTGGGGGCGGAAAAAATTAAAAAAAGAAAAATTTTGGGGGGGGGAAAAAAAAAATTTTTGGGGGGGGAAAAAAAAAGGAAAAAAAAAGGGAATTTGGGGGGAAAAAAAAAAAACTTTAAAAAAATTAAAAAAAGGGGGGGAAAAAAAAAGGGGGAAAAAAAAAGGGGGGGAAAAAACCCAAAAATTAAAAAAAAAAAGGAAAAAGGGGGAGGGGAAAAAATTTTTAAAAAACCCAAAAAAAAGAAAAAAAGGAAAAATAATTTTGGGGGGGAAAAAAAAAAAAAAAAAAAACCCCAAAAATTTGGAAAAAGAAAAAAAAAAGGGGGAAAAAAAAGGGGGAAAAAAAAAAACCCAAAATTAAAAAAAAAAAAAAATTTTTTTAAAAAAAGGGGGGGTTTAAAAAAAAAAAGAATTAAAAAAAAGGAAAAGGAAAAGGGGGGGGGGGAAAAAAAAAAAAGAAAAAAAAAAAAAAGGAAAAAGGGGGGGGGAAAAAAGGGGGGTTTTGGGGAAAAAAAAAAAAAAGAAAAAAAAAAAAAAGGGGAAGGGAAATTTTGGCAAGGGTAAAAAAAAAAAAGAAGTTAAAAAAAAAAAAAGGGGGGGGGGGCCCAAAAAAAAAGGAAAACCCAAAATTTAAAAAAGGAAAAGAGGAAAAAGGGTTTTTTTGGGGGAAAAAAAAAAATTTCAAGAAATTTAAAAAAAAAAGGGGGGGGGGAAAAGGATTTGGGGGGGAAAAAAAAAAAAAAAAGAATTTCCCGGCCCCAAAAAAAAAGGGGGGAAAAAAGGGGAAAAAAAATTCCCAAAAAATTAAAAATTTAAAAAAATTAAGGGAAAGGGGGGGGAAAAAAAAGGGGAAAAAAAAGGAAAAAAAAAGGAAAAAGGGAAAAAAAGGGGGGGGGGGGAAAAAAAAAAAAAAAAAAAAAAAGAAAAAGCCAAAAAAAAAAAGGGGGGGGGGAAAAAATTTTTTTAATTCCCCCCAAAATTAAAAAAAAAAAAGGAAAGGGAAAATTTTTTTTGGGGGAAAAAGAAAAAAAAAGGAAAAAAAAAAAGGGGGGGAAAAAATTTTTTTTTTAAAAAAAAAAAAAAAAAAAGAAAAAAAAAGGGAAAAAGGAAATTTTTTTAAAAAAAAAAAAAAACCGGGGAAAAAAAAAGGAAAAAGGGGAGTAATTTTTTGGGGAAAAAAAAAAAAACCGAAAAAAAAAAAAAAGGAAAAAGGGGGTAATTTTTTGGGGGAAAAAAAAAAAAGGAAAAAAAAAAAAAAGGGGAAAAAAGGGTTTTGGGGGGAAAAAAAAAAAAAAAAAAAAAAAGGAAAAAAAAATTTTTTTTTTTAAAAAAAAAAATTTAAAACCCAAAAAAAAAAAAGGGGAAAAAAGGGGGGGGGTTTTTTTAAAAAAAAATTTTAAAAAAAAAAAAGGAAAAAAAAGGAAATTTTTGGGAATTTTTTTTAAAAAAAAAAACCAAAAAAAAAAAAAAGGGGAAAAAGGGGTTGGGGGGGAAAAAAAAAGAAAAAATTTTAAAACCGAAAAAAAAGGAAAAAGAATTTTTTTGGTGGGAAAAAAAAAAACCAAAAAAAAAAAAAAAAAGGGAAAAAGGGGTTTTGGGGTTTCAAAAAAAAAAAAAAAGGGAAAAAATAAAAAAAAGGGAAAAAATTTTTTTGGGGGGAAAAAAAAAAAAAAAACCAAAAAAATTTAAAAAAGGGGGAAAAAAAAAATTGGGGGGGGAAAAAAAAAAAAAAAAAAAATTTAAAAAAAAAAAAAGGGGGAAAAAAAATTTTTTTGGGGGGGAAAAAAAAAAAAGGGAAAAAAAAAGGGGGAAAAAAAAAAAGGGGGGGAAAAAAAAAAAAAAGGAAAAGAAAAATTTTTGGGGGAAAAAAAAAAAAATTTTTTTAAAAAAAAAGGAAAAAAGGGGGAAAAAAAAAAAAAAAAAAATTTTTTAAAAAAAAAAGGAATTTGGAAATTTTGGGGGGGAAAAAAAAAAATTTTTTCCAAAAAAAAAAGGAAAAAAAAAATTTTGGGGGGGAAAAAAATTTTCCCCAAAAAAAAGCAAAAGGGGGGGGGGGAAAGGGGGAAAAAAAAAAAAAAAAAAAAAAGAAAAAGGAAAAAAAAAAATTTTTTGGGGGAAAAAAAAATTTTTGGGAAGGGGGGAAAAAAAAAAAAAAGGGGGAAAAAAAAAGGGGGGGGAAAAAAAAAATTTTGGGGGGAAAAAAAAAAAAAAAGGGGGGGGAAAAAAAAAATAAAAAAAAAGGGGGGAAAAAAAAGGGAAAAAGGGGGGGGGGGAAAAAAAAAAAAAAATTTTTTTGGGGGGGTTAAAAAAAAAAAGGAAGGGGGAAAAAAAAAAAAAGGGGGGTGGAAAAAAAAAAGGGGGGGTTTTTAAAAAAAAAAAAAAAAAAAAAAAGGGAAAAAAAAAAAAAATTTAAATTTTAAAAAAAAAAAAAAAAAAATTTTAAAAAAAAAAAAGAAAAACGGGGAACCCCAAAAAAAAAAAAAAAAGAAAAAAAAAGGGGGGGGAAAAAAAAAGGGGGGAAAAAAAAAAAAAAGGAAAGCGGGGGAAAAAAAATTTTGGGGGGAAAAAAAAATTGGGAAAAAAAAAAAAATAAAAAAAAAAAAAGGAAATTTTTGGGGGGGGGGAAAAAAAAAAAAAAAAAAAAAAAAAAAAAAGAAAAAGGAAAAGGGGGGAAAATTTTAAAAAAAAAAAAAAAAAAAATTGCAGACAAAGTAATAAAGGAAAATGGAAATAATGGAGGTGGCAGTGAACAAAGCAAAATGCAAGGGTGGCAGACGAACAAAGGAAAGTGAGAAATAATGGTATTTTGGGTGGTAGATGAAATAAAGAAAATTGCAAGAACTTGCAGACAAAGCAATAAAGGAAAGTGAGAATAATGTATTTTTGGGTGGCAGATGAACAAAGAAAATTGCAAGAACTCTGCACAAAGTGTAATAAGAAAAGAGAAATAATGGTAGATGGTGGTAGATGAACAAGAAAATTGCAAGAATTTCAGACAAAGTAATAAAGTGAAAAGTGAGAATAATGGTGATGGTGGCAGATGAACAAAAGAAAATGTAAGAACCTCGCAGACAAAGTAATAAAGGAAAGTGAAATAATGGCATGGGTGGTAGATGAACAAAGAAAATTGCAAGAATTGCAGACAAAGTAATAAAGGAAAACGAGAAATACTGGCATTTGGGTGGCAGACGAATAAAGAAATTGCAAGAACTGCAGACAAAGTAATAAAGGAAAGTGAGAGTAATGGCATTTTGGGTGGTAGACGAACAAAGAAAATTGCAAGAATTTCTCACACAAAGTAATAAAGGAAAGCGAGAAATAATATGCTTGGGTGGGATGAACAAAGAAAATTGCAAGAAATTGGAGACAAAGGGTCAGGAAAGGAGGAGAAGGTATTTAAAAGTAGAGCGAACAAAAGAAAATAAAAGAACTGCAGACAAAGTAGTAGTAATTTTGAAAATTGGAGAAGAAAAGTGTGGCCTCGCCCCAGACAGTGGGAACAAAGAAATGGGACCTTATGATTGGAATTTATTAAAGAAATACATGAAATAAAGACTGCAGATTATGCAAAAAAAAAAAAAAGAGTGACGAATGAAAGAATAAAGAACATGCAGACAAAGCGGATAGAAGGAAAGTAGAGAAAATAATGGAAAGAGGCGTAAAATTGAGTTGCAGACAATTAACAAAGGATTTATTGAAATAATGGCATTTTGGGTGGCAGACGAACAAAGAAAAGAAGAAACTCGCAGACCTGAATAAAGGGAAATAATTTTTGGGTGGCAACGAAAAAGATACGCAGTTGACATTTTTGGTGGCAGACGAACAAAAAAACTACAAGAACGCGCAGACAAGGTAATAAAGGAAACAGATGAGAAATGGCATTTTTGCTGGCTGACGAACAAAGAAATTGTAAGAACTCGTAGACAGAGAAAGGAAAAAGGAAAATTGAGGGGAAAATGGTATTTGGTGCAGACGAAAAAAATCCTGCAAGAACTCTGCAGACAAAGTAATAAAAGAAAGAGGAGTAATGGCATTTTAGACGGTGGCAAGATGAACAAAGAAATTTGGTGGCAGAGAACAAAGAGAAAATTGCAAGAAGACAAAAGTAATAAAGGAAAATGAGAGTAATGGTATTTTGGTGGCAGACGAACAAAGAAAACTGCAAGAACTTCAAGACAGCAATAAAGGAAAGTGAGGAGTACGGCTTTTTTTTGGGTGGCAGATGAACAAAGAAAACTGCAAGAACTGCAGACAAAGTAATAAAGGAAAGGGAGGAATAATGGTATTGGCAGACGAACAAAGAAAACTGCAAGAAACTCGTACACAAAGTAATAAAGAAAAGGAGAGTAATAAGAGAATGAAGAAAACTGCAAGAATTGCAGACAAAATGAAGGAAAACGAGGAGTAATGGTATTTGGGTGGCAGACGAACAAAAGAAAAACTGCAAGAACTTCGCAGACAAAGTAATAAAGGAAAGGGAAAGGAGGGGATGAATGGCAAGAATTTTGGGAGGGTAAGATGGGTGGAAGGAAGAAAAAAGCCTGCAAGAACTTGCAGACAAAGTAATAAAGGAAAGTGAGAAATAATGTTGCTTTGGGTGCAGATGAAATAAAGAAAATTGCAAGAACTGCAGACAAAGTAACAAAGGAAAGCGAGAAGTAAATGGCATTTTGGGTGGCAGATGAACCAAAGAAAAACTGCAAGAACTGCAGACAAAGTAATAAAGGAAAATGAGAAATAATGGTATTTTTGGGTGGTAGATGAACAAAGAAAAACTGCAAGAACGTGCAGACAAAGTAATAAAGGAAATGAGGAGAATGGTATTTTGGTGGTAGAGGAACAAAGAAAATTGCAAGAACGCGCAGACAAAGTAATAAAGGAAAAAACGAGGAGTAATGGTGCATTTTGGGTGGCAGACGAACAAAGAAAACTGCAAGAACTTAGACATAAATTTAATAAAGGAAAAAGGAGTAATGGTATTTTGGGTGGCAGATGAACAAAGAAAATTGCAAGATGCTGCAGACAGAGTAACAAAGAAAAAGGGAGAATGGCATTTTGGGTAGATGAACAAAGAAAAATGTAAGAATGCGCAGACAAAGTAATAAAGGAAAATGAGGGAGAATGGTATTTGTGGTAGATGAACAAAGAAAACTGCAAGAACTGCAGACAAAGTAATAAAGGAAAGAGGAGAATGGTATTTTGTGGTAGAGGAACAAAGAAAACTGCAAGAACTGCAGAAGTAAAAAAGGAAAAGAGAGTAAGGCATTTTGGGTGGCAGACGAACACTGCAAGAAATTTCTGCAGACAAAGTAATAAAGGAAAGGGAGAAATAATGGTATTTGGTGGTAGATGAACAAAGAAAAATTGCAAGAACTGCAGACAAAGTAATAAAGAAAGGAAATAATGGTATTTTGGGTGGTGCAGATGAACAAAGAAAATTGTAAGAACTTGCAGACAAAGTAATAAAGGAAAATGAGAAATAAATGCATGGTGGTAGATGAACAAAGAAACTGCAAGAACTCGCAGACAAAGTAATAAAGAAAGCAGGAGTAATGGCATTTGGGTGGCAGAGGAACAAAGAAAAACTGCAAGAACTTCCGCAGACAAAGTGGGGCCAAAGGAAAGCGAGAAATAATGGTATTTTGGGTGGCAGACGAACAAAGAAAATTGCAAGAACTTCTCGCAGACAGCGGTAATAAAGGAAAATGAAATACGGCATTTTTGGGTGGCAGACGAACAAAGAAAACTGCAAGTAACCCTGGAGACAAAAGTAATAAAGGAAAATGAGAAGTAATGGTATTTTGGGTGGCAGACGAACAAAGAAAATTGCAGAAACTTCTCACACAAAGTAATAAAGGAAAATGAGAAATAATGGTATTTGGGTGGCAGGTAGATGAATAAAGAAAATTGCAAGAATTGCAGACAAAGGGTAAGGAAAGGAGGAGTAATGGTATTTTTGTGGGTGGAGAGGAACAAAAGAAAATAAAAGAACTGCAGACAAAAAGTAATAAAGGAAAATGAGAAATAATGGTATTTTTGGGTAGATGACAAAGAAAATTGCAAGACGACACAAAGTAATAGTGAAAGGGAAAATAACAGATGGGTGGCAGATGAAAGAAAAACTGCAAGAATTCTCGCAGAGACAAAGTAATAAAGGAAAGCGAGGAGTAATGGCATTTGGTGGCAGAGAAACAAAGAAAAACTGCAAGAACTCGCAGACAAAGTAATAAAAAGGAAAGGAGAAAATAATGGCATTTTGGGTGGCAGACGAACAAAGAAAAACTGCAAGAACTGCAGACAAAGTAATAAAAGGAAAGTGAGAAAGTAATGGTATTTGGGTGGCAGAGGAACAAAAGAAAACTGCAAGAACTGCAGACAGTTAACAAAGGAGCGAGAAATAATGGCATTTTGGGTGGCAGACGAACAAAGAAAACTGCAAGAAACTCGCAGACAAAGTAATAAAGGAAAGGAGAAGTAATGGCATTTTGGGTGGCAGACGAACAAAGAAATTGCAAGAACTTGCAGACAAAGTAATAAAGAAAGCGAGGAGAATGGTATTTGGGTGGCAGATGAATAAAGAAAATTGCAAGAATTGCAGACAAAGTAATAAAGGAAAGCGAGAAATAATGGTATTTTGGTGGCAGATGAACAAGAAAAATTGCAAGAACTGCAGACAAAGTAATAAAGGAAAGTGAGGGAGTAATGGCATTTTGTGGTAGAGGAACAAAGAAAAAATTGCAAGAATTGCAGACAAAGTAATAAAGGAAAGTGAGAAATAGATGTATTTGGGTAAGGAGAACAAAGAAACTGCAAGAACTCGCAGACAAAGTAATAAAGGAAAGCGCGAGGAACAATGGTACTTTTGGGTGGCAGAGGAACAAAGAAAATCAAAGAATCTCGGAGACAAAGCAATAAAGGAAAGGAGGAGTAATGGCATTTTGGGTGGCAGACGAACAAAGAAAACTGCAAGAACTCGCAGACAAAGCAATAAAGGAAAGGGAGAAATAATGGCATTTTGGGTGGCAGAGGAACAAAGAAAATCTGCAAGAACTCGCAGACAAAGTAATAAGGAAAGCGAGAAATAATGGTATTTGTGGCAGACGAACAAAGAAAACTGCAAGAACTTCGGAGACAAAGTAATAAAGGAAAGCGAGGAGTAATGGTATTTTGGGTGGCAGACGAACAAAGAAAAACTGCAAGAACGGAGACAAAAGTAATAAAGGAAAGCGAGGAGTAATGGTATTTTGGGTGGCAGATGAACAAAAAAAGAAAATTGCAAACAAAGTAATAAAGGAAAGGAAATAAACGGTGGTAGAGGAATAAAGAAAACTGCAAGAAATTGCAAGACAAAGTAATTGAGAAATAGTTTTGGGTGGCAGAGGAACAAAGAAAATTGCAAGAATTGCAGACAAAGTAATAAAAGGAAAGGAGAAATAATGGTATTTTGGGTGGCAGAGGAACAAAGAAAACTGCAAGAAACTGCAGACAAAGTAATAAAGGAAAGCGAGAAATAATGGCATTTTGGGTGGCAGAAACAAAAGAAAATTGCAAGAACTCGCAGACAAAGTAATAAAGGAAAGCGAGAAATAAATGGTATTTTGGGTGGCAGAGGAATAAAGAAAAATGCAAGAACTGCAGACAAAGTAATAAAGGAAAATGAGAAATAATGGTATTTTTGGGTGGCAGATGAACAAAGAAATTGCAAGAACTGCAGACAAAGTAATAAAGGAAAGGGAGGAGAATGGTATTTTGGGTGGCAGATGAATAAAGAAAATTGCAAGAATTGCAGACAAAGTAATAAAGGAAAATGAGAAGTAATGATTTTGGGTGGGTAGAGGAACAAAGAAAATTGCAAGAACTGCAGACAAAGTAATAAAGGAAAGCGAGAAATAATGGTATTTGGGTGGCAGATGAACAAAGAAAAAATTGCAAGAATTTTGCAAAAGACAAAGTAATAAAGGAAAGAGGGAGAATGGTATTTTTGGGTGGCAGATGAACAAAGAAAATGTAAGAATCTGCAGACAAAAGTAACAAAGGAAAATGAGTAATGGAATTTTGGGTGGCAGATGAATAAAGAAAATTGCAAGAACTCGCAGACAAAGGTAATAAAGGAAAAAGGAAGAACACGGTATTTGGGTGGCAGACGAACAAAGAAAAACTGCAAGAACTGCACACAAAGTAATAAAGGAAAATGAGAAATAATGGTATTTTGGGTGGCAGATGAAAGAAATGCAAGAAAGCGCAGACGGAGACAAAAGTAATAAGGGAAAAAATGAGAATAATGGATTTTGGGTGGCAGATGAATAAAGGGAAAAATGCAAGAACTGCAGACAAAGTAATAAAGGAAAGAGAGAAATAATGGCATTTTGGGTAATAGAGGAACAAAGAAAAAATTGCAAGAATGGTGCAGACAAAGTAATAAAGGGAATGAGAATAATGGTAAGATGGGTGGTAGAGAACAAAGAAATTGCAAGAATTGCAAGACAACTATCACAAGGAAAGCGGAAATAAGATTTTGGGTGAGTAGAAAAGAAAATTGCAAGAACGCGCAGACAAAGTAATAAAGGAAAACGAGAAGTAATGGCATATTTGGGTGGCAGACGAACAAAGAAAATTGCAAGAACGCGCAGACAAAGTAATAAAGGAAAAATGAGGGTAATGGTATTTTTGGTGGCAGACGAATAAAGAAATTGCAAGAACTCGCAGACAAAGTAATAAAGGAAAATGAGGAGTAATGGTGCATTTTGGCAGATGAACAAAGAAAACTGCAAGAACTCGCAGACAAAGTAATAAAAGGAAAAAGCGAGAAATAATGGCATTTTGGGTGGCAGACGAACAAAGAAAACTGCGTAACTGCAGACAAAGTAATAAAGGAAAAGTGAGAAATAATGGCATTTTGGGTGGTAGACGAACAAAGAAACTGCAAGACTGCGGCACAAAGTAATAAAGGAAATGAGAGGAGGGTGCATTGGGTGGCAGAGGAACAAAAAAAAATTGCAAGAATGCGCAGACAAAGTAATAAAGGAAAGCGAGAAATAATGGTATTTTTTGGTGATGAACAAAGCAAAACTGTAAGAACTGTAGACAAAGTGGCTAAAGGAAAGGGAAGAGTAATAGTATTGGGGGTGGTAGATGAATAAAGAAAAACTGCAAGAACTTGCAGACAAAGTAATAAAGGAAAGCGAGGAGTAAGGGTATTTTGGCAGAGGGAAAAAGAAAATTGCAAGAACTGCAGACAAAGTAATAAAGGAAAGTGAGAAATAATGGTATTTTTGGATGGTAGATGAACAAAGAAAACTTGCAAGAACTGCAGACAAAAGTAATAAAGGAAAAGTGGAGGAGTAATGGCATTTGGGTAGCAGAGGGACTCAAAGAAACTGCAAGAACTGCAGACAAAGTAATAAAGGAAAAGGAGAAATGGCATTTGGGTGGCAGACGAACAAAAGAAAACTGCAAGAATTGCAGACAAAGTAAAAAGGAAAGCAGAAGTAATGGTATTTGGGTGGTAGACGAATAAAGAAAATTGCAAGAACTGCAGACAAATAATAAAGGAAAATGAGGAGGAATGGTATTTGGGTGGTAGAGGAAATAAAGAAAAAATTGCAAGAACACTGCAGACAAAGTAATAAAGGAAAGAGAAGTAATATTATTTGGGTGGCAGATGAACAAAGAAAATTGCAAGAACTTTGAGACAAAGTAACAAAGGAAAGGAGTAATTATATTTTGGTGGTAGATGAATAAAAAACTGTAAGAAATTTGCAGACAAAGTAATAAAGGGAAAATGAGAAATAATGGTATTTTGGTGGCAGATGAAAAAGAAAATTGCAAGAACTGCAGACAAAGTAATAAAGGAAAATGAGAAATAATGGTATTTTGGGTGGCAGAGGAACAAAGAAAATTGCAAGAACTTCGCAGACAAAGTAATAAAGGAAAATGAGAAATAATGGTATTTTGGGTGGAAAAGACGAACAAAGAAAATGCAAGAATTTTTTGCAGACAAAGTAATAAAGAAAAAGCGAGAAATAATGACATTTTGGGTGGCAGATGAACAAAGAAAATTGCAAGAATGCGCAGACAAAGTAATAAAGGAAAGTGAGGAATAATGGCATTTTGGGTGGCAGATGAACAAAGAAAACTGCAAGAACTTGCAGACAAAGTAATAAAGGAAAGCGAGAAATAATGGTATTTTTGGGTGGCAGATGAATAAAAGAAAATTGCAAGAACTCAGAGACAAAGTAATAAAGGAAAGCGAGGAGTAATGGCATTTTGGTGGCAGACGAATGGAAAGAAAAATTGCAAGAATGCAGACAAAGTAATAAAGGAAAGGGAGGAGAATGGTATTTTGGGTGGCAGACGAACAAAGAAAATTGCAAGAACTGCAGACAAAGTAATAAAGGAAAGGAGAAATAATGCATTTTTGGGTAGAGCAGACAATAAATGAAAGAAAATTTGGGTGCAAGAACTGCAAGACTGCAGACAAAGTAATAAAGGAAATGAGAAGTAATGGTATTTTGGGTGGCAGATGAAAAAAGAAAATTGCAAGAACTCTGCAGACAAAGTAATAAAGGAAAGAGAGGAGAAGCTGGCATTTTGGGTGGCAGATGAAAAAGAAAACTGCAAGAAATTGCAGACAAAGTAATAAAGGAAAGCGAGGGGAGTAATGGCATTTTTGGGTGGCAGACGAACAAAGAAAACTGCAAGAACTCGCAGACAAAGTAATAAAGGAAAGCGAGAAATAATGGCATTTTTGGGTGGCAGACGAAAAAGAAAATTGCAAGAACTGCAGGACAAAGAAATAAGGAAAAGAGAAATAATGGTATTTGGTGGAGGACGAACAAAAGAAAACTGCAAGAACTGCACACACAAAAGTATCAAAGGAAAGCGAGAAATAATGGTATTTTGGCAGACGAACAAAGAAAAATTGCAAGAACTTGCAGACAAAGTAATAAAGTGAAAGCGAGGAGTAATGGTATTTTGGGTGGCAGACGAAAAAAAAGAAAATTGCAAGAATTTCTGCAGACAAAGAAATAAAGGAAAGCGAGAAATAATGGTATTTGGGTGGTAGACGAACAAAGAAAATTGCAAGAATGCAGACAAAGTAATAAAGGAAAGCGAGAGTAATGGTATTTGGTGGCAGAAATAAAGAAAAAATGCAAGAACTGCAGACAAAGTAATAAAGGAAAATGAGAATAATGGTATTTGGGTGGGCAGGACGAACAAAGAAAACTGTAAGAACCTCGCAGACAAATTAATAAAGGAAAGGGAGAAACAATGGCATTTTGTGGCAGATGACGAAGAAACTGCAAGAACTGCAGACAAAGTAACAGCTGGAAAGCGAGGAGTAATGGCTTTTTAGTGGCAGACGAACAAAGAAAAACTGCAAGAACTCGCAGACAAAGTAATAAAGGAAAGCGAGGAAGTAATGGCATTTTTGGTGGCAGACGAACAAAGAAATTGCAAGAATTTCGCAGACAAAGTAATAAAGGAAAGCGAGAATAATGGTATTTTGGGTGGCAGACGAAAAAAGAAAACTGCAAAGAAATCGCAGACAAAGTAATAAAGAAAAGCGAGAAGTAATGGTTTTTTTTTGGCAGACGAACAAAGAAAATTGCAAGAACTCGCAGACAAAGTAATAAAGGAAAGCGAGGAGTATTGTATTTTTTGGGTGGCAGAACTGCAAGAACAAAGAAAAAGGAGAGAATTTTCGCAGACAAAGTAATAAAGCAGAAAGCGAGGAAAGTAGAATGGTATTTTGGGTGGCAGACGAACAAAGAAAATTGCAAAGAACTCGCAGACAAAACAAAGGAAAGGAGAAGTAATGGTATTTTGGGTGGCAGATGAAAAAGAAAACTGTAAGAACTGCAGACAAAGTAATAAAGTGAAAGAGGGAGAAATGGTATTTGGGTGGCAGATGTTGTAAAAGAAAATTGCAAGAACTGCAGACAAAGTAATAAAGAAAGGAGAAATAATGGTATTTTGGGTGGTAGATGAATAAAGAAAATTGCAAGAATTTGCAGACAAAGTATTGAAGGAAAATGAGAAATAATGGTATTTTGGGTGGCAGACGAACAAAAGAAAACTGCAAGAATCGCAGACAAATTAATAAAGGAAAACGGGAGAAATAATGGCATTGGGTGTAAGACGAACAAAAGAAAACTGCAAGAACTGCAGACAAAGTAATAAAAGAAAGCGAGGAGTAATGGCATTTTGGGTGGCAGATGAAAAGAAAATTGCAAGACTTTGCAGACAAAGTAATAAAGGAACTGATGAGTAATGATTTTGGGTGGCAGATGAATAAAGAAATTCGCTGAATTGAACCGGTTTCTGCAAACAAAGTAATAAAGGAAAGGAGAAATAATGGTATTTTGGGTGGCAGATGAATAAAGAAAAATTGCGTGTGGTCACTGCAGACAAGTAATAAAGGAAAAGAGAAATAATGTATTTTGGGGGCAGATGATTAAAGAAAATTGCAAAAGACTGCAGACAAAAAAAAAAAAAAAAAAAAAAAAAATGGGATTTGAGAGGCAGACAGAACAATGAAAATGCAAAACTGCAGACAAAGTAAGAAAAGGCGTAAAATTGAGGATTAATGGTATGAACGGACACAGCAGACGAAAAAAAAAAATTGCAAGAATGCAGACAGGGTTAATTAAAGGAAACGTGAGGTAAAAAGATACGGTGATTTTTTGGTGGCAGACGAACAAAAAAATTGCAAGAATGCTGCAGACAAAGTAATAAAGGAAATGAGATTAATGGCATTTTTGCTGGCAGACGAACAAAAGAAAACTGCAAGAACTCGCAGACAAAAGGAATAAAGGAAAGCGAGGGGAAATGGCATTTTGGGACGAAGAAGAACAAAAAAAAATTGCAAGAATTGCAGCAGACAGTAATAAAGGAAAATGAGAAATAATGGCATTTTTGGGGGGCAGACGAACAAAGAAAATTGCAAGAACGCAGACAAAGTAATAAAGGGAAAACGAGGAGTAATGGTATTTGGTGGCAGACGAATAAAGAAACCGGTGTGAACGCGCAGACAGAGTAATAAGGAATTGCAGAACAAAGAAGGCAAGAACTCAAAAAGACAAAACAAAGGAAAGCGAGGTAATTTTAAGGCAGACGAACAAAGAAAACTGCAAGAATCTAAGACAGAGTAATAAAGGAAAAACGAGGAGTAATGGCATTTTGGGTGGAAGACAACAAAGAAATGTAAGAACTCGCAGACAAAGTAATCAAAGGAAATGAGGATTAATGGCATTTTGGGTGGCAGACGAACAAAAGAAAACTGCAAGAACGCGCAGACAAAGTAATAAAGGAAACGAGGAGTAATGGTATTTTTTGGGCAGACGAACAAAGAAAAAATTGTAAGAATTTCGCAGACAAAGTAATAAAGGAAAGGAGGGAGAGTAATGGCATTGCAGATGAAATAAAGAAATTGCAAGAACTTCGCAGACAAAGTAATAAAGGAAAGGAGGGAGTATTTTTGGTGGTAGACGAACAAAAGAAAATTGCAAGAACTCGCAGACAAAGTAATAAAGGAAATGAGAGTAATATATTTTGGGTGGCAGACGAACAAAGAAAATTGCAAGAACTTGCAGACAGAGTAATAAAGGAAAGGAGGAGGCTTAGTATTTTGGGTGGCAGATGAATAAAGAAAACTTCAAAAAAGAACTGCAGACAAGTAATAAAGGAAATGAGGGTAATGGCATTTTGGTAGATGAAAAAGAAAACTGCAAGAACGCGCGCAGACAAAGTAATAGCGGAAAAACGAGGAGTAATGGCATTTTGGGTGGCAGGACGAACAAAGAAAAACTGCAAGAACTCGCAGACAAAGTAATAAAGGAAAACGAGAGTAATGGCATGACGGGTGGCAGACGAACAAAAGAAAAACTGCAAGAACCGCAGACAAAGTAATAAAGGAAAAACGAGATTAATGGAACAAAGATTTTTGCTGGCAGACAAACAAAGAAAAACTGCAAGAATGGCATTTGGGTGGCAGACAAAGTGCAAGAATGCAGAAGGAAAAAGGAAAGGAGGAGTAATGGTATTTGGGTGGCAGACGAACAAAAGAAAATGCAAAGAACGCAGACAAAGTAATAAAGGAAAAATGAGGATTAATGGTATTTTTGCAGACGAACAAAGTTGAAACTGCAAGAACTCGCAACAAAAGAAAAGCAATGGTGCAAGAATGCGCGAACAAAGAAACTGCAAGAACTCCGCAGACAAAGTAATAACAGGAAAGCGAGAAATAATGGCATTTTGGGTGGCAGACGAACAAAGAAACTGCAAGAACTCGCAGACAAAGTAATAAAGGAAAGCGAGAACAATGGTATTTTGGGTAGACGAATAAAGAAAAACTGCAAGAACTGCAGTAGAAAAGTAATAAAGGAAAACGAGAAAGGTGGTATTTTGGTGGTAGACGAATAAGAAAACTGCAAGAACTTCAAGGTAAGACAAAGTAATGGGAAGGAAAGCGAGGAGTAATTTTTTGGGTGGTGAGACGAACAAAGAAAAACTGCAAGAACCGCAGACAAAGTAATAAAAGAAAAGAGGAGTAATGGCATTTTTGGGTGGCAGAACGAACAAAAGAAAACTGCAAGAAATTCCGCAGACAAAGTAATAAAGGAAAACGAGAAGAATGGCATTTTGGTGGTAGACGAAATAAAGAAACTGCAAGAACTTCGAGACAAAGTAATAAAGGAAAGTGAGGAATAATGGTATTTGGTGGCAGATGAATAAAAGAAAATTGTAACTTTTGCAAGACACAAAGTAATAAGGAAATGAGAAATAATGGTATTTGGGTGGCAGATGAATAAAGAAACTGCAAGAACTGCAGACAAAGTAATAAAGGAAAAGGGAGGAGTAATGGTATTTGGGTGGCAGAGGAACAAAGAAACTGCAAGAACTGCAGACAAAGTAATAAAGGAAAGCGAGAAATAATGGTATTTTTGGTGGCAGATGAACAAAGAAATTGCAAGAACTTGCAGACAAAAGTAATAAAGGAAAGGAGAAATAATGGTATTTGGTGGCAGACGAACAAAAGAAAAACTGCAAGAACCTGCAGACAAAGTAATAAAGGGAAAGCGAGGATAACGGCATTTTGGGTGGCAGACGAACAAAAGAAAAACTGCAAGAAATTTCGCAGACAAAGTAATAAAGGGAAAGCGAGGAGTAATGGTATTTTGGGTGGCAGACGAACAAAGAAAATTTCAAAAGAACTGCAGACAAAGTAATAAAGGAAAGAGGAGTAATGGTATTTTGGTGGCAGACGAACAAAAGAAAACTGCAAGAAAAATAAAGGCAGACAAAGTAATAACAAAGAAAGCGAGGACAAAGTAATGGGAGAAATTTGGGTGGCAGACGAACAAAGAAAACTGCAAGAACTGCAGACAAAGTAATAAAGGAAAAGGAGAAATAATGGTATTTTGGGTGGCAGAGGAACAAAGAAAAACTGCAAGAACTCAGACAAAGTAATAAAAGGAAAGCGAGAAATAATGGCATTTTGGGTGGCAGAGGAACAAAGAAAAAACTGCAAGAACTGCAGACAAGTAATAAAGGAAAGTGAGAAATAATGGCATTTTTGGGTGGTAGAGGAACAAAGAAAAACTGCAAGAATCTCGCAGAGACAAAGTAATAAAAGGAAAAGGATAATGGTATTTTGGTGGCAGAGAACAAAGAAAATTGCAAGCAACTGCAGACAAAGTAATAAAGGAAAGAAATAATGGGTATTTGGGTGGTAGAGAACAAAAGAAAAATTGCAAGAATTCGAGAACAGTACAAAGGGAAAAAGAGAGTAATGGTATTTGGGTGGCAGACGAACAAAGAAAAAAGAATCTGCAGACAAAGTAATAAAGGAAAGTGAGAAAGAATGGTATTTTGGGTGGCAGGAGGAATAAAGGAAAATGGTAAGAAATTCCGCAGGAAAGTAATAAAGGAAAGAGAAATAATGGTATTTTGGGTGGTAGACGAACAAAGAAACTGCAAGAACTGAGAGACAAAGTAATAAAGGAAAGGAGGAATAATGGCATTTGGTAGCAGACGAACAAAGTAAAACAAAAAGAACTCAAGACAAATTAATAAAGGAAAAGCGAAATAATGGTATTTTTGGGTGGCAGACGAATAAAGAAAACTGCAAGAAACTCTGCAGACAAAAAAGTAATAAAGTGAAAATGAGAAATAATGGCATTTTTGGGTGGCAGAGGAACAAAGAAACTGCAAGAACTGCAGAAAGTAATAAAGGAAAGAGAAATAATGGTATTTTTGGGTGGCAGATGAACAAAGAAAATTGCAAGAACTGCAGGAAAGGACAAAGTAATAAAGGAAAGGGAGAAAGTAATAAAGTATTTTGGGTATTTTGGGTAGACGAACAAAGAAAATTGCAAGAATTGCAGACAAAGTAATAAAGGAAAATGAGGGAGAAGGGTATTTGGGTGGCAGAGACGAATAAAGAAAACTTCAAGAACTTGCAGACAAAAGTAATAAAGGAAAATGAGAGAATGGTATTTTGGGTAGAGAATAAAGAAAACTGCAAGAATTGCAGACAGTAATAAAGGAAAATGAGGAAGGAAGGGCATTTGGGTAGATGAACAAAGAAAAATTGCAAGAACTGCAGACAAAGTAATAAAGGAAAATGAGGGAGGAATGGTATTTTAGGTGGCAGACGAACAAAGAAAACTGCAAAGAACTCGCAGACAAAAGTAATAAAGGAAAAAGAGGAGTAATGGCATTTTGGGTGGCAGACGAAACAAAGAAAACTGCAAGAACTCGCAGACAAAGTAATAAAGGAAAGTGAGGAATAATGGCATTTTGGTGGCAGATGAACAAAGAAAACTGCAAGAACTGCAGACAAAGTAATAAAGGAAAACGAGGAGTAATGGTATTTTGGGTGGCAGATGGAACAAAGAAAACTGCAAGAACTTCGTAGACAAAGTAATAAAGGAAAGCGAGAAATAATGGTATTTTGGGTGGCAGATGAACAAGAAAATTGCAAGAACTGCAGAGACAAAGTGGCCAAAGGAAAGTGAGAAATAATGGTATTTTGGGTGGCAGATGAACAAAGAAAAAAAAAGAACTGCAGACAAAGTAAAATAAAGGAAAGCGAGGGAGAATGGTATTTTGGGTAGACGAACAAAGAAAATTGCAAGAATTGCAGGACAAACAAATAAAGGGAAAGGGAGAAATAATGGTATTTTTGGGTGGCAGAGGAACAAAGAAAATTGCAAGAACTCGCAGACAAAGTAATAAAGTGAAAGGAGAGTAATGGCATTTTGGGTGGCAGACGAAAAATAAAATTGCAAGAATTCTGCAGACAAAGTAAAAAGGAAAGCGAGGAGTAATGGCATTTTTGTGGCAGACGAACAAAGAAAATTGCAAGAACTAAGAATGCAGACAAAGTAATAAAGGAAAATGAGAAATAATGGACGGTGGCAGATGAACAATGAAAATGCAAGAACTGGAGACAAAGTAATGAGAAGGAAAGGCGAGGAGACGAGCAAGGGTGTCAGATGAACAAAGAAAATGTAATGAGAACGAACGACGGAAGTAATAAAGGAAACGAGGAGTAATGGAAAACTAATGACAGAGAACAAGAAAAACTGCAAGAACGAATGAGAAAGTCAAAAAAGAAAGCGAGAAATAATGGTATTTTGGGTGGCGAGACGAACAAAGAAAATGAAAACAAAATTGCAAACAAAGTAATAAAGGAAAGGAAAATAATGGTAAAACGAACAAAGGAACAAAGAAAAGCAAACGAGCAAAAGTGGGTTAATAAAGGAAAGAGGAGTAGCTGGTATTTTGGTGGTAGAGAAACAAAGAAAACTGCAAAATTGTAGAGAAAGTAATAAAGTGAAAGTGAGAAAGAATGGAGATTTGGGTGGCAGATGAACAAAGAAAAACTGCAAGAACTCTGTGACAAAGTAATAAAGGAAAGCGAGGAGTAATGTATTTTGGGTGGCAGATGAACAAAGAAAATTGCAAGAACTGCAGACAAAGTAACAAAGGGAAAGGAGGAGTAATGGCATTTTGGGTAAGAGAACAAAGAAAAAACTGCAAGAACTGCAGACAAAGTAATAAAGGAAAGTGAGAAATAATGCATTTTAATGGTGACGAACAAAGAAAATTGCAAGAACTGCAGACAAAGTAATAAAGGGGAAAGCGAGAAATAATGGGTATTTTGGGTGCAGAGAACAAAAGAAACTGCAAGAACCTGCAGACAAAGTAATAAAGGAAAGCGAGAAATAATGGCATTTTTGGGTGGGCAGACGAACAAAGAAAACTGCAAGAACTCGCACACAGTAATAAAGGAAAGCGGAGAAATAATGGCATTTTTGGGTGGCAGACGAACAAAGAAAACTGCAAGAACTCGCAGACAGTAATAAAGGAAAAGCGAGAAGTAATGGTATTTTGGGTGGCAGAGGAACAAAGAAAATGCAAGAACTGCACAAAGTGGGTTGTGAAAAAGTAATAAGAGGAAAGAAAACTGCAAGAATTGGAGACAAAGTAATAAAGGAAAGGAGAATAATGGTATTTTGGTGGTAGATGAACAAAGAAAATTGAAATTTCTGTAGACAAAGTAATAAAGGAAAAATGAGGAGTAATGGTATTTTGGTGGTAGAGGAATAAAGAGAAAACTGCAAGAACTTCGCAGACAAAGTAATAAAGGAAAGGGAGAAATAATGGTATTTGGTGGCAGATGAACAAAGAAAATTGCAAGAACTGCAGACAAAGTAATAAAGGAAGTGAGAGTAATGGTATTGGGTGGGTAGAGGAACAAAGAAAATGCAAGAATGTGGACAAAGTAATAAAGGAAAGAGAAATAATGGTATTTGGGTGGCAGACGAACAAAGAAAAATTGCAAGAACTGTAGACAAAGTAATAAAGGAAAACGAGGAGTAATGGTATTTTGGGTGGCAGAGGAACAAAGAAAAATGAGGATTAAGAACTCGCAGATGGACAAAGTAATCAAAGACAAAAAAGCGAGAAATAATGGCATTTTTGGTGGCAGACGAACAAAGAAAATTGCAAGAACTGGAGACAAAGGTCAAAAGGAAAAGAGGAGAATGGCTTGGGTGGCAGACGGAACAAAGAAAACTGCAAGAACTCGCAGACAAAGGTAATAAAGGAAAAACGGAGAGTAATGGTATTTTGGGTGGCAGACGAACAAAAGAAAATTGCAAGAACGCGCAGACAAAAGTAATAAAGGAAAGCGAGGCAATGGTACGGGCGGCAGACGAACAAAGAAACTGCAAGAACCGCAGACAAAGTAATAAAGGAAAGCGAGGAACAATGGTATTTTGGGTGGCAGACGAACAAAGAAAAACTGCAAGAACTTGAGACAAAGTACAAAAGGAAAGGAGGAGTAACATTTTGGGTGGCAGATGAACAAAAGAAAAACTGCAAAATCGTAGACAAAGTAATAAAGGAAAGTGAGAAATAATGGTATTTTGGGTGGCAGACGAATAAAAGAAAATTGCAAGAATTTTGCAAAGTAATAGCGAAAGAGGAAATGGCATTTTGGGTGGCAGATGAACAAAAGAAACTGGCAAGAATTGGAGACAAAGTAATAAAGTGAAAAGGAGAATACGGTATTTGGGTGGCAGACGAACAAAGAAAACTGCAAGAACTTCGCAGACAAAGCAAAGGAAAGCGAGAAACAATGGCATTTTGGGTGGCAGACGAACAAAGAAAATTGCAAAGAACTCGCAGACAAAGTAATAAAGAAAAAGCGAGGAATGAAGGCATTTGGGTGGTAGAGAATAAAGAAAACTGCAAGAACTTCAGACAAAGTAATAAAGGAAAGCGAGGATAATGGTATTTTGGGTGGCAGACGAAAGAAAATTGCAAGAATGCGCAGACAAAGTAATAAAGGAAAGAGAAGGAGTATTTTGGGTGGTAGATGAACAAAGAAAATTGCAAGAACTTCCAAGACAAAGTAATAAAGGAAAAAAAAAAAACGAGGATTAATGGCATTTTTGGTGGCAGAGAACAAAGAAAACTGCAAGAACGCGCAGACAAAGTAAGAAGGAAAAGGAGAGTAATGGTATTTTTGGGTGGTAGACGAACAAAGAAAATTGCAAGAATTGCAGACAAAGTAAAAGGAAAGCGAGGAGTAATGGCATTTGGGTGGTAGATGAAGAAAGAAAACTGCAAGAACTGCAGACAAAGTAATAAAGGAAAAGTGAGGAGTAATGGTATTTTTGGGTGGCAGACGAACAAAGAAAATTGCAAGAATTGCAGACAAAGTAATAAAGGAAAGAGAGAAACATGGCATTTTTTGGTGGCAGACGAACAAAGAAAACTGCAAGAACCTCGCAGACAAAGTAAAAGGAAAGCGAGGAGATGGCATGGGTGGCAGAGGAACAAAGAAACTGCAAAGAACTGCAGACAAAGTAATAAAGGAAAATGAAATAATGTATTTTTGGGGGCAGACGAACAAAGAAAACTGCAAGAATGCAGACACAGTAATAAAGGGAAAATGAGGGAGAAGGTATTTTGGTGGCAGATGAATAAAGAAAATGCAAGAACTGCAGACAAAGTAATAAAGGAAAGTGAGGAGTAATGGCATTTGGGTGGTAGATGAACAAAGAAATTGCAAAAGCCTGCAGACAAAGTAATAAAGTGAAAGAGAGAGAATGGTATTTTGGGTGGCAGATGAATAAAGAAAATTGCAAGAACTGCAGACAAAAGTAATAAAGGAAAGTGGAGAAATAATGGTATTTTGGTGGTAGATGAATAAACAAAACTGCAAGAACTGCAGACAAAGTAATAAAGGAAAATGAGAAATACGGCATTTTGGTGGCAGAGGAACAAAGAAAACTGCAAGAACGAGTGACAAAGTAATGAAAGGAAAGCGAGAGCAATGGTATTTGGGTGGGACAGAAGAAAACTGAACGAGCAACAAAGTAATGAAGAAAGGAGAGTAATGGTATTTTGGGTGGAGATGATGGAAAGAAATTCAAGAACAAGCAAAGACAAAGTAATAAAGCGAAGGAAAATGAGAGTAATGGGATTTTCAAAGCGAACAAACAAAACTGCAAGAACTGCAGACAAAGTAAAAAGAAAAATGAGTGAGTATGGGCATTTTGGGTGGCAGAGGAAAAAAGAAAATTGCAAGAAAGAACAGACAAAGAAATAAAGGACAAACGAGAAGTAATAAATTTTGAATGGCAAGATATCAAAGAAAAATGCAAGAACGAGCAAACAAAGTAATGAAAGGAAAGGAGGAGTAATGGCATTTTGGGTGGTCAAGACGAACAAAGAAAACTGCAAGAACTGCGCAGACAAAGTACATAAAAACGAATGAGAAGATCAATTTGGGTGGCAGACGAACAAAGAAAACTGCAAGAATGAGCAGACAAAGTAATAAAGGAAAGGAGGATTAATGGTATTTTTGGTGGCAGACGAAATAAAGAAAATGCAAGAATTGCAGACAAAGTAAGCAAAGGAAAGCGAGTTAGCGATTTGAAAATGATGAACAAAGAAAACTGGGCCTCGAACAAGACAAAGTAATAAAGGAATGTGATCTTTATAATGGAATTTTGGGGAACAGATGAATAAAGAAAAAAAATTGCAAGAAAAAAAAAAAAAAAAAAAGGAAATGAGAAATAATGGTATTTGCAGACGAACAAAGAAATTGCAAGAAGAGCAAGACAAAGTAATAAAGGAAAACGAGAAATATGAACGAATGGGTGGCAGATGAACAAAGAAATTAATGACTGCAGACAAAGTAATAAAGGAAAAACGAGGAATAATACAATTTTGGTGGCAGGGTTAATTAAAAAAATTGCAATGGACAAAGTAATAAAGGAAACGAGGAGTAAATGACATTTTTGTGTAGACGAACAAAAAAACTGCAAGAACGCGCAGACAAGGTAATAAAGGAAAAGGATGAATAATGGCATTTTGCTGGCTGACGAACAGAGAAAATTGCAAGAACTGCAGAGAAAGCGAATAAAGGAAATCGAGGGAAATGGCATTTTGGGTGGCAGACGAACAAAGAAAAACTGCAAGAATCCGCAGACAAAGCAATAAAAGAAAAGGAGAAATAATGGTATTTGGGTGGTAGACGAACAAAGCAAAATTGCAAGAAAATGCAGACAGAGTAATAAAGGAAAATGAGAGTAATGGTATTTTTGGGTGGTAGATGAACAAAGAAAAATTGCAAGAATGCTGCAGACAGAGTAATAAAGAAAAGGAGAAATGGGTATTTTTTGGTGGTGGATGAACAAAGAAAAACAGCAAGAATTCGCAGACAAAGTAATAAAGGAAAGGAGAAATAATGCATGGGTGGTAGATGAAAAGAAAACTGCAAGAACTTGCAGACAGAGTAATAAAGGAAAATGAGGAATAATGGTATTTTGGGTGGAAGATGAACAAAAGAAAAATTGCAAGAACTGCAGACAAAGTAATAAAGGAAAGTGAGGAGTAATGGCATTTTTGGTGGCAGACGAACAAAAGAAAACTGCAAGAACTGCAGACAAAGTAATAAAGGAAAAACGAGGAATAATGGCATTTTGGGTGGCAGACGAACAAAGAAAACAAAAAGAACTCGCAGACAAAGTAATAAAGGAAAGCGAGAAATAATGGTATTTGGGTGGCAGACGAACAAAAGAAAACTGCAAGAACTGCAGACAAAAGTAATAAAGGAAAAGCGAAAGTAATGGCATTTTTGGGTGGCAGACGAACAAAGAAAACTGCAAGAACTGCAGACAAAGTAATAAAGGAAAGCGAGAAATAATGCATTTTGGGTGGCAGATGAAAGAAAACTGCAAGAAACTGCAGACAAAAGTAATAAAGAAAAGAGAAATAATGGTATTTTGCAGGACGAAAGAAATGAACAAAGAATCGCAGAGAACAAAGTAATAAAGGAAAGGAGAAGTAAATGGCATTTTTTGTGGCAGATGAACAAAGAAAATTGCAAGAATTTCGCAGACAAAAGTAATAAGGAAAAGAGAAATAATGGTATTTTTGGTGGCAGACGAACAAAGAAACTGTGGAACTGTAGACAAACATAAAGGAAAGGAGAAATAATGGTATTTTGGGTGGCAGACGAAGAAAGAAAAACTGTAAGAATTGCAGACAGTAATAAAGGAAAGAGGAGAAGGGTATTTTGGTATGGAGAACAAAGAAAACTGCAAGAACTGCAGACAAAGTAATAAAGGAAAAGGAGAAGTAATGGTATTTTGGGTGGCAGATGAACAAAGAAATCAAGAACTGCAGACAAAGTAATAAAGGAAAGCGAGAAATAATGGCATTTTTGGGTGTATAGACGAACAAAGAAACTGCAAGAACTGCACACAAAGTAATGAAGGAAAACGAGAAATAATGGCATTTTTGGGTGGCAGAAAACTGCAAGAAAGACAAAACTAAAAGAAAGCGAGGAGAATGCATTTGCAGACAAACAAATAAAGGCAAAGCGAGTACAAAGAAAACAATGGTATTTTGGGTGGCAGGATGAACAAAGAAAATTGCAAGAACTGCAGACAAAGTAATAAAGGAAAGTGAGAAATAATGGTATTTTGGGGGTAGATGAACAAAGAAAATGAACGTAGAAAAAGTAATAAAGGAAAGCGAGGAGTAATGGTATTTTGGGTGGTAGACGAACAAAGAAAATTGCAAAAGTGAGACAAAAAGGAAAATGGCATTTGGGGTGGCAGATGAACAAAGAAAACTGTAAGAAATTTTTGCAGACAAAGTAATAAAGAAAATGAGGAGGCTGGTATTTTGGGTGGCAGATGAATAAAGAAAAAAATTGCAAGTGTCTCGCAGACAAAGTAATAAAGGAAATGAGAAGAATGGTATTTTTGGGTGGTAGACGAACAAAGAAATCAAAAGAACTGCAGACAAAGCAATAAGGAAAATGAGGAATAACATTTTGGGTGGTAGATGAAATCGGGAAAAATTGCAAGAACTTCAGACAAAGCAATAAAGGAAAACGAGGAGGAATGGTATTTTAGGTGGCAGATGAACAAAAGAAAAAACTGCAAGAACTGCAGACAAAGTAATAAAGGAAAGAGGAGTAATGCATTTTGGGTGGTAGAGGAACAAAGAAAATTGCAAGAAACTGCAGACAAAGTAAAAGGAAAAGAGAAGTAATGGCATTTTGGCTGCAGAGACGAAAAAAAAAAACTGCAAGAATGCAGACAAAGTAATAGTGGGAAAAGGAGGAATAATGGTATTTGGTGGCAGATGAAATAAAGAAACTGCAAGAACTTCTGCAGACAAAGTAATAAAGGAAAAGGGAAATAATGGTATTTTGTGGCAGATGAACAAAAGAAAACTGCAAGAATTGCAGACAAAGTAATAAAGGGAAAAGCGAGTAATGGTATTTTTGGGTGGCAGATGAATAAAGAAAATTGCAAGAATTTTGCACACAAAGTAATAAAGGAAAGGAGAAATAATGGTATTTTGGGTGGTGGGATGAAAAAGAAAACGAACAAAGACAAAGTAATAAAGGAAAAGTAATGGTATTTTGGGTGGTAGATGAACAAAGAAAAACTGCAAGAATCCTGCAGACAAAAAGTAACAAAGGAAAAGGAAATAATGGCATTTTGGGTAGACGAACAAAGAAAATTGCAACTTCGCAGACAAAGTAATAAAGGAAAACGAGAATAATGGCATTTTGGGTGGCAGAGGAACAGTAAAAAACTGCAAGAACTCGCAGACAAAGTAATAAAGGAAAGCGAGAAATAATGGCATTTGGGTGGCAGAGGAACAAAGAAAAAAACTGCAAGAAACTCGCAGACAAAAGTAATAAAGGAAAGAGAAATAATGGCATTTTGGGTGGCAGATGAACAAAGAAAATTGCAAGAACTGCAGACAAAGTAATAAAGGAAAACGAGAAGTAATGGTATTTTGGGTGGTAGACGAACAAAGAAAATTGCAAGAACTCGGAGACAAAGTAATAAAGGAAAGAGAAATAATGTAGTATTTTTGGGTGGCAGATGAACAAAGAAAACTGCAAGAACTGCAGACAGTAATAAAGGAAATGAGAAATAATGGTATTTTTGGGTGGTAGAGGAACAAAGAAAAACTGCAAAGAACTGCAGACAAAGTAATAAAGGAAAGGGAGAATAATGGTATTTTTGGGTGGCAGAGAAACAAAGAAAATTGCAAGAACTGCAGACAAAGTAATAAAGGAAAGCGGAGAAATAATGGCATTTTGGGTGGCAGATGAACAAAGAAAAACTGCAAGAACTCGGACACAGTAAGAAGGAAAAGGAGGAATAATGGTATTTTTGGGTGGCAGATGAACAAAGAAAATTGCAAGAACTCGCAGACAATAAGAAGGAAAATGAGGAGAATGGTGATGGGTGGCAGATGAACAAAGAAAACTGCAAGAACCTGCAGACAAAGTAATAAAGGAAGGGGAGAAATAATGGCATTTTAGGTGGCAGAGGAACAAAGAAAACTGCAAGAACTCGCAGACAAAGCTGCCATCCAAAGGAAAACGTTAGTATTTTGAAATTTGGGGGTGGCAGACGAACAAAAGAAAAGTGGAACAAGAATACCTTTAGACAAATTTATTAAAGGAAAGGAGAATAATGGTATTTCAAAAAAAAAAAAGATGAACAAAGAAAATTGCAAGAATGTGATAGAACAAAGTAAGAAAAAGGAAAGCGGAGAGGCAATGGATTTTTTGGGTGGCAGAGCGAACAAAGAAAACTTGATCAGGGTTAAGACAAAGTGGACTCAACGGAAAAAGAGAAGCAGTTGACATTTTAGGTGGCAGATGAATAAAAAAACTGCAAGAATTGCAGACAAGGTAATAAAGAAAAATGAGAAAATGGCATTTTTGGGCAGACGAACAAAGAAAAATCTCAAGAACTGCAGACAAAGTAATAAAGGAAAATGAGGAAATGGCATTTTGGGTGGCAGACGAACAAAAAAAAAATCTGCAAGAGAACTGCAGACAAAAGTAATAAAGGGAAAACGAGAGTAATGGTTTTTGGGTGGTAGATGAACAAAGAAAATTGCAAGAATTGCAGACAAGTAAAGTGAAAAATGAGGAGTAATGGCATTTTGGGTGGTAGATGAACAAAGAAAATTGCAAGAATGCGCAGACAAAGTAATAAAGAAAAACGAGAAAGGGGGTATTTTGGGTGGCAGACGAACAAAGAAAACTGCAAGAACTGCAGACAAAGTAATAAAGGAAAGGGAGAAATAATGGTATTTGGGTGGCAGATGAATAAAGAAAACTGCAAGAACTGCAGACAAAGTAATAAAGGAAAATGAGAGTAAGTATTTTGTGGAAGACGAACAAAGAAAACTGCAAGAACTGCAGACAAAGTAATAAAGGAAAGGAGAGTAATGGCATTTTGGGTGGCAGACGAAAAAGAAAACTGCAAGAACTCGCAGACAAAGTAATAAAGGAAAACGAGGAGAATGGTATTTTGGGTGGCAGACGAACAAAGAAAATTGCAAGTCTCTGCAGACAAAGTAATAAAGGAAAATGAGGAGAATGGTATTTTGGGTGGCAGACGAACAAAGAAAATTGCAAGAACTGCAGACAAAGTAATAAAGGAAAGAGAGAAATAATGGTATTTTGGTGGCAGACGAACAAAAGAAAACTGCAAGAAATTGCAGACAAAGTAATAAAGGAAAGTGAGGAGTAATGGTATTTTGGTGGTAGACGAATAAAGAAAATTGCAAGAATGCGCAGACAAAGTAATAAAAGGAAAGGAGAGTAAATGGTATTTTGGGTGGTAGACGAACAAAGAAAAATTGCAAGAATTGCAGACAAAGTACAAAGGAAAGGGAGAAATAATGGTATTTTGGGTGGCAGACGAACAAAGAAAACTGCAAGAACGCGCAGACAAAGTGAATAAAGGAAAACGAGGAGTAATGGATTTTTGGTGGCAGACGAACAAAGAAAACTGCAAGAACCCTGCAGACAAAGTAATAAAGGAAAGGAGGAGTAATGGTATTTGGGTGGCAGATGAACAAAGAAAAATTGCAAGAACAGAGACAAAGAATAAAGGAAAGAGAGAAATAATGGTATTTTTGGGTGGCAGACGAACAAAGAAAATTGCAAGAACTGCAGACAAAGTAATAAAGGAAAGCGAGAGAATGGTATTTTTGGGTAGATGAATAAAGAAAATTGCAAGAATTCGCAGACAAAGTAATAAAGGAAATGAGGATAATGGTATTTTTTGGGTGGTAGATGAACAAAGAAAATTGCAAGAATGCAGACAGAGTAATAAAGGAAAATGAGGAATAATGGCATTTGGGTGGCAGACGAACAAAGAAAAATTGCAAGAATTGCAGACAAAGTAATAAAGGAAAGAGGAGTAATGGTATTTTTGGGTGGCAGATGAATAAAGAAAATTGCAAGAATTGCAGACAAAGTAATAAAGGAAAGGAGAAATAATGGTATTTTGGTGGTAGACGAACAAAGAAAATTGCAAGAACTGCAGACAAAGTAATAAAGGAAAGGAGAATAATGGTATTTTTGGGTGGCAGACGAACAAAGAAAAATTGCAAGAACTGCAGACAAAGTAATAAAGGAAAACGAGAGTAATGGTATTTTGGGTGGCAGACAACAAAGAAAACTGCAAGAACTGCAGACAAAGTAATAAAGGAAAGGAGGAGTAATGGTATTTTGGGTGGCAGATGAACAAAGAAAACTGCAAGAACTGCAGACAAAGTAATAAAGGAAAGGAGAAATAATGGCATTTTGGGTGGTAGATGAACAAAGAAAACTGCAAGAAACTGCAGACAAAGTAATAAAGGAAAAGAGAAATAATGGTATTTGGTGGTAGACGAACAAAGAAAATTGCAAGAATTTCGGAGACAAAGTAATAAAGGAAAGGAGGAGTAATGGTATTTTTGGGTGGCAGATGAATAAAGAAAAACTGCAAGAATTGCAGACAAGTAATAAAGGAAATGAGAAATAATGGTATTTTTGGGTGGCAGAGGAACAAAGAAAATTGCAAGAACTGCAGACAAAGTAATAAAGGAAAGGGAGAAATAATGGTATTTTGGGTGGCAGACGAACAAAGAAAAATTGCAAGAACTGCAGACAAAAGTAATAAAGGAAAGGAGAAATAATGGCATTTTTGGGTGGCAGATGAACAAAGAAAAATTGCAAGAACTCGCAGACAAAGTAACAAAGGAAAGGAGATAATGGTATTTTGGGTGGCAGATGAACAAAGAAAACTGCAAGAACTCGCAGACAAAAGTAATAAAGGAAAGGAGGAGTATGGCATTTTTTGGCAGGTGACGAACAAAGAAAAATTGCAAGAATCAGACAAAGTAATAAAGGAAAGCGAGAAATAATGGTATTTGGGTGGCAGACGAAGAAAGAAAACTGCAAGAACTCGCAGACAAAGTAATAAAGGAAAGTGAGGGTAATGGCATTTAGGTGGCAGAGAACAAAGAAAATTGCAAGAACTGCAGACAAAAGTAATAAAGGAAAGGGAGGAATAATGGTATTTTTGGTGGTAGACGAACAAAAGAAAATTGCAAGAAACTCGCAGACAAAGTAATAAAGGGAAAGGAGGAGAATGTATTTTTTTGGTGAAAACCAAAGACGAACAAAGTAAAAATTGCAAATTTTGCAGACAAAGAAAATAAAGGAAAGGAGGAAATAATAATTTTGCTTTGTAGACGAACAAAGAAAACTGCAAGAACAGTAATAAAGGAAAGCAGACAAAGTGGTAATGAAAAGGAGGAACTTTTGCGAGAAATAATAAAGGAAAGTGAGGATTTGGGTGGCAGATGAAGAAAGAAAACTGCAAGAAACTGCAGACAAAGTAATAAAGGAAAAGGAAAGTAGAGGAAATGGTATTTTTAGGAGGAGCAGATGGAACAAAAAGAAAATTGCAAGAACTGCAGACAAAGTAATAAAGGAAAAGCGAGGATAATGGCATTTTGGTGGAGGAACAAAGAAAACTGCAAGAACTCGCAGACAAAGTAATAAAGGAAAGCGAGAAATAATGGCTTTTGGGTGGTAGAGAAACAAAGAAAACTGCAAGATCACGCAGACAAAGTAATAAAGGAAAAGCGAGGAGAATGGTATTTGGGTGGCAGACGAACAAAAGAAAAAATTGCAAGAACTTGCAGACAAAAGTAATAAAGGAAAAGAGAAACATGCTTTTTTTAGTGGCAGAGGAACAAAGAAAATTGCAAGAACTGCAGACAAAGTACAAAGGAAAGGGAGGAGAAATTTTGGTGGCAGACGAAGAAAGAAAATTGAGAAGTAATAGCGAAAGTGAGAAATAATGGTATTTTTGGGTGGCAGACGAACAAAGAAAATTGCAAGAAATCGCTGGAGACAAAGTAGATGAACAAAGAAAATTGCAAGAAAGAGAAAGTGAGGGTAATGGTATTTTTGGTGGCAGACGAACAAAGAAAAATTGTAAGACCCTGCAAGACAAAGTAATAAAAGAAAGAGAGTAATTTGGTGGCAGTAGAACGAAAGAAATTGCAAGAGCCTGCAGACAAAGTAATAAAGGAAAGAGAAGTAATGGATTTTATTGGTAGAGGAACAAAGAAACTGCAAGAACTGCAGACAAAGTAATAAAGGAAAGCGAGGAATAATGGCATTTTGGGTGGCAGACGAACAAAGAAAACTGCAAGAACTCGCAGACAAAGTAAAGGAAAGCGAGAAATATTTGGGTGGTGGTGAGGAACAAAGAAAAAACTTCGAGACAAAAACAAAGGAAATGAGGAGTAATGGCATTTTTGGGTGGCAGACGAACAAAGAAAACTGCAATGAACTCGCAGACAAAGTAATAAAGGAAAGTGAGAAATAATGGCATTTTGGGTGGCAGACGAACAAAGAAAACTGCAAGAACTCTGCAGACAAAGTAATAAAGGAAAGTGAGAAATGGTATTTTTGATGGTAGATGAACAAAGAAATTGCAAGAACTGCAGACAAAAGTAATAAAGGAAAGAGGAGTAATGGTATTTTGGGTGGTAGATGAATAAAGAAAATTGCAGAATTGCAGACAAAGTAATAAAGGAAAGAGAAATAATGGTATTTTTGTGGACGAACAAAGTGCAAGAATTGCAGACAAAGTAATAAAGGGGAGAAATAATGGTATTTTTGTGGCAGATGAACAAAGAAAATGCAAGAACTTGCAGACAAAGTAATAAAGGAAAGAGAAATAATGGTATTTTGCAGAGTAGATGAAAAAGAAAAACTGCAAGAACTGCAGACAAAGTAATAAAGGAAAGCGAGAAATAATGGCATTTTGGGTGGCAGAGGAACAAAGAAAAACTGCAAGAACTGCAGACAAAGTAACAAAGGAAAGCGAGAAATAATGGCATTTTGGGTGGCAGACGAACAAAGAAAACTGCAAGAACTTCGCAGACAAAGCAATAAAAGGAAAGCGAGAAATAAATGGTATTTTTGGTGGCAGACGAACAAAGAAAACTGCAAGAACTGCAGACAAAAGTAATAAAGGAAAGCGAGGAGTAATGGTATTTTGGGTGGCAGACGAACAAAGAAAACTGCAAGAATTGCAGACAAAGTAATAAAGGAAAGTATTTTGAGTAGAAATAATGGTATTTTGGTGGCAGGAATAAAGAAACTGCAAGAAACAAAGTAAAAGGAAAGCGAGGAGAAATTTTGGTGGCAGACGAACAAAGAAATGCAAGAATTGCAGACAAAGTAATAAAGAAAATAAGAGTATTTTGGGTGGCAGAGGAACAAAGAAAACTGCAAGAACTTCGCAGACAAAGTAATAAAGGAAAGGGAGGGAATAATGGTATTTTGGCAGACGAAATAAAGAAAACTGCAAGAATCTCTGCAGACAAAGTAATAAAGGAAAGCGAGGAGTAATGTCATTTTGGTGGTAGACGAACAAAGAAAACTGCAAGAACTGCAGACAAAGTAATAAAGGAAAGCGAGGAGAATGGCATTTGGGTGGCAGACGAACAAAGAAAAACTGCAAGAACTGCAGACAAAGTAATAAAGGAAAGCGAGAAATGGCATTTTGGGTGGCAGACGAACAAAGAAACTGCAAGAACTGCAGACAAAGTAATAAAGGAAAGAGTGGTAATGGTATTTTTGGGTGGTGATGAACAAAGAAAATTGCAAGAATTCGCAGACAAAGTAATAAAGGAAAGCGAGGAGTAAGGCATTTTGGGTGGCAGACGAACAAGAAAAACTGCAAGAATTTCTGCAGACAAAGTAATAAAGGAAAGTGAGAGTAATGGTATTTGGGTGGCAGACGAACAAAGAAAAACTGCAAGAACTGCAGACAAAGTAATAAAGGAAAGCGAGAAATGGTATTTTGGGTGGTAGATGAACAAAGAAAATTGCAAGAACTCGCAGACAAGTAACAAAGGAAAGAGGAGTAATGGTATTTTGGGTGGCAGAGGAACAAAGAAAATTGCAAGAACTTGCAGACAAAGGGTTAAAGTTAGAAAGGAGAAAGGAAACGAACAAAGAGTAATAAAGGAGTGAGGCCGGTATTTTTTGGTGGCAGACGAACAAAGAAAATTGCAAGAACTTCTGCAGACAAAGTAATAAAGGAAAGCGAGGAGTGGCTTTTTAGTGGCAGAGGAACAAAGAAAACTGCAAGAACTGCAGACAAAGTAATAAAGGAAAGCGAGGAGTAATGGCATTTTGGTGGCAGACGAATGAAAGAAAAACTGCAAGAACTTCGCAGACAAAAGTAATAAAGGAAAGGGGAGAAATAATGGTATTTTTGGTGGCAGACGAACAAAGAAACTGCAAGAAAATCGCAGACAAAGTAATAAAGGAAAGCGAGGAGTAATGGCTTTTTGGGTGGCAGAGGAACAAAGAAAATTGCAAGAACTGCAGACAAAGTAATAAAGGAAAGGAGAAATAATGGCATTTTGGTGGCAGACGAACAAAGAAAACTGCAAGAATTGCAGACAAAGTAATAAAGGAAAGTGAGGAGTAATGGCATTTTTGGTGGCAGAGAATAAAGAAAAACTGCAAGAACTCGCAGACAAAGTAATAAAGGAAAGGAGAATAATGGTATTTTGGCAGATGAATAAAGAAAATTGCAAGAATTGCAGACAAAGTAATAAAGGAAAATGAGGAGTAATGGTGCAATTTGGGTGGCAGACAAAGAAAATGCAAGAACTTCGCAGACAAAGTAATAAAGGAAAAGGAGAAATAATGGCATTTTGGTGGCAGACGAACAAAGAAAAAAAAATTGCAAAGTAATGTGAAAAGAACTTTTTAGTGGCAGACAAAGGAATAAAGGAAAGGAGAAGTAATGGCATTTTTTGGTGGCAGACGAACAAAGAAAACTGCAAGAACTGCAGACAAAGTAATAAAGGAAAGCGAGGAGTAATGGCATTTTTGGGTGGCAGACGAAAAAAGAAAAAGAAACTCAGCAGACAAAGTAATAAAGGAAAGCGAGGAAATGCATTTGGGTGAACAAAGAAAAACTGCAAGAACTGGAGACAAAGAAGGAAAGGAGAGTAATGGTATTTTGGGTGGCAGACGAACAAAGAAAATTGCAAGAACTTCGCAGACAAAGGTAATAAAGGAAAATGAGGAATAATGGTATTTTTGGCAGACGAACAAAGAAAAACTGCAAGAACTGCAGACAAAGTAATAAAGGAAAGAGGAGTAATGGTATTTGTAGATGAACAAAGAAAATTGCAAGAATTGCAGACAAAGTAATAAAGGAAAATGAAATAATGGTTTTTGGTGGCAGATGAATAAAGAAAAAATTGCAAGAACTGCAAGACAAAGTAATAAAGGAAAGGAGAGTAATGAACAAAGAAAACTGTGAGAACTGCAGACAAAGTAACAAGGAAAGAGGAGTTTTGTGGCAGAGGAACAAAGAAAATGTAAGAACTTGCAGACAAAGTAATAAAGGAAAGGGAGAACAATGGCATTTTGGGTGGCAGATGACAAAGAAAACTGCAAGAAAGAAAGTAATAAAGGAAAGCGAGAAATAAAATTTTGGGTGGCAGACGAACAAAGAAAAACTGCAAGAACGTAGACAAGTAATAAAGGAAAGGAGAAGTAATGGCATTTTGGGTGGCAGACGAACAAAGAAAACTGCAAGAAATCGCAGACAAAAAGGAAAGGAGAAATAATGGCATTTTGGGTGGCAGACGAATAAAGAAAAACTGCAAGAACTGCAGACAAAGTAATAAAAAAGGGGAAACAAAGGAAAGCGAGAAAAGTAAAGGAAATGGCTTTTGGGTGGCAGACGAACAAAGAAAATTGCAAGAACTGCAGACAAAGTAATAAAGGAAAAAGGGGGAATAATGGTATTTTGGGTGGCAGACGAACAAAGAAAATTGACAAAGAAGTGAAAGCAGACAAAGTAGACGAACAAAGAAAAATGAGAAATAATGAGTATTTTGGGTGGCAGACGAACAAAGAAAACTGCAAGAAATCGCAGAGACAGTAATAAAGAAAAAGAACGAGACAAAGTAATGGCGAGGAGTTTTTTTGGGTGGCAGACGAAAAAGAAAACTGCAAGAACTCGCAGACAAAGTAATAAAGGAAAAGAGGAGTAATGGCATTTTTGGTGGCAGACGAACAAAGAAAACTGCAAGAACTCGCAGACAAAGTAATAAAAGAAAGTGGAGGAGTAATGGTAATTTTGGGTGGCAGATGAACAAAAAAAAACTGCAACAATCTCGCAGACAAAGTATAAAGGAAAGCGAGTAAAGTAATGGTATTTTTGGGTGGCAGACGAACAAAGAAAACTGCAAGAACTCGCAGACAAAGTAATAAAGGAAATGAGAAATAATGGTATTTTGGGTGGCAGACGAACAAAGAAAAAGAAAACTCGCAGACAAAGTAATAAAAGGAAAGGAGAAATAAATTTTTGGTGGCAGGGAAAAAAGGCAAGAACTCGCAGACAAAGTAAGGAAAGGAGAGTAGTGAGAACGTACAATTTTGCAAGGTGGCAAAGACGAACAAAGAAATAGATGCAAAGAACTGCAAGAAGACAAAGTAATAAAGGAAAAGGAGAAATAATGGCTTTTTTGGGTGGCAGATGAACAAAGAAAAACTGCAAGAACCTCTGCAGACAAAGTAATAAAGGAAAGCGAGGAGTAATGCATTTGGGTGGCAGACGAACAAAGAAAATTGCAAGAACTGCAGACAAAGTAATAAAGGAAAGCGAGGAGTAATGGTATTTTTGGTGGCAGAAACAAAGAACTGGCAAGAACTCGCAGACAAAGTAATAAAGGAAAGTGAGGAGTAATGGCATTTGGGTGGTAGACTAACAAAGAAAAAACTGCAAGAACTTCGCAGACAAAGTAACAAAAGGAAAGCGAAAATAATGGTATTTTGGGTGGCAGATGAACAAAGAAAAACTGCAAGAACTGCAGACAAAGTAATAAAGAAAAGGAGGAGTAATGGCATTTTTGGGTAGTAGACGAACAAAGAAAATTGCAAAGAACTTGCAGACAAAGTAAAGGAAAGGGAGGGAGTAATGTATTTGGTGGCAGACGAATAAAGAAAATTGCAAGAACTGCAGACAAAGTAATAAAGGAAAGGAGAGTAATGGTATTTTGTAGCAGGAATAAAAGAAATTGCAAGAACTGCAGACAAAAATAAAGGAAAGAGAAATCGCAGACAAAGTAAAAGAAGCAGAAAGCGAGCAGTAATGGCTTTTGGTGGCAGATGAACAAAGAAAAAACTGCAAGAACTCGCAGACAAAGTAATAAAGGGAAAAGCGAGGAGTAATGGTATTTTGGTGGCAGACGATCAAAGAAATTGCAAGAACTTGCAGACAAAGTAATAAAGGAAAGGAGGAGAAGCTGGCTTTGGGTGGCAAGACGAACAAAAATTGCAAGAATTGCACACAAAAGTAATAAAGGAAGCGAGAAATAATGGTATTTTTGGGTGGCAGATGAACAAAGAACTGCAAGAATTTGCAGACAAAGTAATAAAGGAAAGCGAGGAGTAACGGCATTTTGGGTGGGCAGACGAACAAAGAAAACTGCAAGAACTGCAGACAAAGTAATAAAGGAAAATGAGGAGTAATGGTATTTGGGTGGCAGACGAACAAAGAAAATTGCAAGAACTGCAGACAAAGTAATAAAGGAAAGGAGGAGTAATGGCATTTTGGGTGGCAGACGAACAAAGAAAACTGCAAGAACTGCAGACAAAGTAATAAAGGAAAGCGAGGAGTAATGGTATTTGGGTGGCAGATGAACAAAGAAAACTGCAAGAACTTGCAGACAAAGTAATAAAGGAAAGGGAGGAGTAATGGCATTTTGGGTGGCAGATGAACAAAGAAAAACTGCAAGAACTGCAGCAGACAAAGTAAGAAAGGAAAGACAAAGTAATAAAAGGAAATGAGAAATAATTTTTGGGTGGCAGACGAACAAAGAAAAAACTGCAAGAACTCGCAGACAAAGTAATAAAGGAAAGCGAGAATTAATGGCATTTTGGGTGGTAGACGAAATGTTAGGCACTGCAAGAACTCGCACACAAAGTAATAAAGGAAAGCGAGAAATAATGGCATTTTGGGTGGCAGATGAACAAAGAAAACTGCAAGAACGCGCAGACAAAGTAATAAAGGAAAATGAGGAGTAATGGTATTTTGGGTGGCAGACGAAAAAAGAAAATTGCAAGAATGCAGACAAAGTAATAAAGGAAAATGAGAAAGAAGGGTATTTTTTTTGGTAGACGAACAAAGAAAAAATTGCAAGAATTGCAGACAAAGTAATAAAGGAAAGTGAGAGTAATGGTATTTGGGGTGGCAGACGAAAAAGAAAATTGCAAGAATTGCAGACAGAGTAATAAAGGAAAATGGGAGTAATGGTATTTGGGTGGCAGACGAATAAAAGAAAATTGCAATAATTTCGCAGACAAGTAATAAAGGAAAGGAGAATAAGTATTTTGGGTGGTAGATGAATAAAAAAGCAAGAACTGCAGACAAGAAAACGAGGAAATAATGGTATTTTGGGTGGCAGAACAAAGAAAATGCAAAAGTGACAAAAATAAAGGAAAGGAGAAATAATGGTATTTTGGGTGGCAGACGAAAAAGAAACTGCAAGAAACTGCAGACAAAGTAATAAAGGAAAGCGAGGAGTAATGGTATTTTGGGTGGCAGACGAACAAAGAAAAATTGCAAAAGAACTGCAGACAAAGTAATAAAGGAAAGCGAGAAATAATGGTATTTTGGGTGGCAGACGAACAAAGAAAAATTCGCAAGAATTTCGCAGACAAAGTAATAAAGGAAAGGGGAGAAATAATGGCATTTTTGGGTGGTAAGATGAACAAAAGAAAATTGCAAGAATTCGCAGACAGAGTATAAAGGAAAATGAGAAATAATGGTATTTTGGGTGGCAGATGAACAAAGAAAATTGCAAGAATTGCAGACAAAGTAATAAAGGAAAGCGAGGAGAATGGTTTTTGGTGGCAGATGAAAAAAGAAAATTGCAAGAATGCAGACAAAGTAATAAAGGGTGAAAGAGGGAGTAATGGTATTTGGGTGGGCAGACGAATAAAGAAATTGCAAGAATGCGCAGACAAAGTAATAAAGGAAATGAAAGAATGGTATTTTGGGTGGTAGATGAATAAAGAAAATTGCAAGAACTGCAGACAAAGTAATAAAGGAAAACGATGAGAAATGGTATTTTTGGGTTTTAGACGAAAAAGAAAATGCAAGAACTGCAGACAGAGTAATAAAGGAAAGGAGGAGTTCGGCATTTTGGGTGGCAGACGCCAAAGAAAACTAGCAAGAAATCGTTACAAATTTTGAAAATTGAGGAGAAAATTTTGGGTGGCCCAAGATGTGAACAAAGAAAATGTCATCTTTATGATTAACTATTAAAGCGAACAGCGCAGACAGAGTAATAAAGAAAATGAGGAGAACTATTTTGGGTAGAAAAAAAAAACTGCAAGAACTGCAGACAAAGTAAAAAGGAAATAAATAGCATGCATGCAGACGAACAAAAAAACAAGTAGAGAAAAAGTAGCGTAAAAGCGAGAAATAATGCAACTTTGGGTGGCAGATGAACAAAGAAAACGGACACAGCAGAACGCTTAAAAGAAAAATGGTATTTGATCAGGGTTAAGAAAATGCAAGAACGCAACAAAAGTAATAAAGGAAAGATACGCATGAGATTTTGGTGGCAGATGAACAAAAGAAAATTACAAGAACGCAGACAAGGTAATAAAGGAAACAGATGAATAATGGTATTTGGGTGGCTGGTGAACAAAGAAAAATTGCAAGAACTCGCAGACAAAGTAATAAAGGAAATCGAGGGGTAATGGCATTTTTTGGGTGGCAGACGAACAAAAGAAAACTGCAAGAAATCGCAGACAAAGTAATAAAGGAAAAATGAGGGATTAATGGCATTTTGGGTGGCAGACGAACAAAGAAAAACTGCAAGAACGCGCAGACAAAGTAATAAAGGAAAGGAGGAGTAATGGCATTTGGGTGGCAGATGAACAAAGAAAAACTGCAAGAACTTCGCAGACAGAGTAATAAAGGAAAAACGAGAAATAATGCATTTTTGGGGTGGCAGATGAACAAAGAAAATTGTAAGAACGCAGACAAAGTAATAAAGGAAAGGGAGGAGTAATGGTATTTTGGGTGGCAGACGAACAAAGAAAATTGCAAGAACTCGCAGACAAAGTAATAAAGGAAAGGAGGAGTAATGGTATTTTGGGTGGAAGATTTGAACAAAGAAAATTGCAAGAACTCTGCAGACAAAGTAATAAAGGGAAAGGAGGAGTAATGGTATTTTGGGTGTAGACGAACAAAGAAAACTGCAAGAACTCGCAGACAAAGTAATAAAGGAAAATGAGAATAATGGTATTTTGGGTAGTAGACGAACAAAGAAAACTGCAAGAACTCGCAGACAAAGTAATAAAGGAAAGCGAGGAGTAATGGCATTTTGGGTGGCAGATGAACAAAGAAAATTGCAAGAACGCAGACAAAGTAATAAAGGAAAAAGGAGAATTAATGGCATTTTGGGTGGCAGACGAACAAAGAAAAAACTGCAAGAATCGCAGACAAAGTAATAAAGGAAAAGGAGGAGTAATGGTATTTTTGGGTGGCAGATGAACAAAGAAAATGCAAAAGAACTGCAGACAAAGTAATAAAGGAAAGCGAGGAGTAATGGCATTTTGGGTGGCAGATGAACAAAAGAAAACTGCAAGAATTTGCAGACAAAGTAATAAAGGAAAATGAGGATTAATGGTATTTTTGGTGGCAGACGAATAAAGAAATTCAAAAGAATTGCAGACTGTGTAACAAAGGAAAATGAGGAGAATGGTATTTTGGGTGGCAGATGAACAAAGAAAATTGCAAAGAATGCGCAGACAAAGTAATAAAGGAAAAATGAGGATTAATGGCATTTTGGGTGGTAGAGGAACAAAGAAATTGCAAGAATGCGCGCAGACAAAGTAATAAAGGAAAGCGAGGATAATGGTATTTTGGTGGGTAGATGAACAAAGAAAAAATTGCAAGAACTTGGAGACAAAGTGCAACAAGGAAAAGGAGGAGTAATGGTATTTTGGGTGGTAGACGAACAAAAGAAAACTGCAAGAACTGCAGACAAAGTAATAAAGGAAAGGAGAGTAATGGTATTTTGGGTGGCAGATGAACAAAGAAAACTGAAAGAACTCGCAGACAAAGTAATAAAGGAAAAACGAGAAATAATGGCATTTTTGGGTGGCAGACGAACAAAGAAACTGCAAGAACTGCAGACAAAGTAATAAAGGAAAGGAGGAGTAATGGCATTTTTGGGTGGCAGACGAACAAAGAAAACTGCAAGAACTCGCAGACAAAGTAATAAAGGAAAGCGAGAAATAAAGGTATTTTTGGGTGGCAGAGAACAAAGAAAACTGGCAAGAACTTCGCAGACAAAGTACAAAGGAAAAGCGAGAAGAACGGCATTTTTGGGTGGTAGAGGAACAAAGAAAAAACTGCAAGAACTCGCAGACAAAGTAATAAAGGAAAATGAGAAATAATGGTATTTGGGTGGCAGATGAACAAAGAAAACTGCAAGAACTTGCAGACAAAGTAATAAAGGAAAGAGGAATAATGGCATTTTGGGTGGCAGAGGAACAAAGAAAACTGCAAGAACTCGGAGACAAAGTAATAAAGGAAAGGAGGAGTAATGGCATTTTGGGTGGCAGATGAACAAAAGAAACTGCAAGAACTTGCAGACAAAAGTAATAAAGGAAAGAGGAGTAATGGCATTTTGGGTGGCAGAGGAACAAAGAAAACTGCAAGAACCTCGCAGACAAAGTAATAAAGGAAAGGGAGGAAATAATGGCATTTTGGGTGGCAGACGAACAAAGAAAAACTGCAAGAACTTGCAGACAAAGTAATAAAGGAAAGGAGAGTAATGGTATTTGGGTGGTGAGGAACAAAGAAAACTGCAAGAACTGCACACAAAAGTAATAAAGGAAAAGCGAGAAATAATGTATTTTTTTGGGTGGCAGATGAACAAAGAAAAACTGCAAGAAACTGGAGACAAAGTAATAAAGGAAAGCGAGGAGTAATGGCATTTTTAGTGGCAGACGAACAAAGAAAAACTGCAAGAAATCTGCAGACAAAGTAATAAAGGAAGTTGAGGAGAATGATATTTGGGTGGCAGAGGAACAAAGAAAATTGCAAGAACTTGCAGACAAAGTAATAAAGGAAAGGAGAAGAAATGGCATTTGGGGTGGCAGATGAACAAATAAAAATGCAAGAACTCGCACACAAAAGTAATAAAGGAAAGCGAGAAACAATGGCATTTTGGGTGGCAGACGAACAAAGAAAACTGCAAGAACTCGCAGACAAAGTAATAAAGGAAAGGGAGAGTAATGGCATTTGGGTGGCAGAGGAATAAAAGAAAACTGCAAGAACTCTCGCAGACAAAGTAATAAAGGAAAGCGAGAAATAATGGCATTTTGGGTGGCAGATGAACAAAGAAAAAACTGCAAGAACTGCAAACAAAAGTAATAAAGGAAAGGAGAAATAATGGTATTTGGGTGGCAGACGAACAAAGAAAACTGCAAGAACTGAGACAAAGTAATAAAGGAAAGGAGGAGTAATGGGTATTTTTGGGTGGCAGACGAACAAAGAAGAAACTGCACGAACTGCACAAAGTAACAAGGAAAGCGAGAATAATGGCATTTTTGGGTGGGTGAGAACAAAGAAATTGCAAGAACTTCGCAGACAAAGTAATAAAGGAAATGAGAAAGAATGGTATTTTGGGTGGTAGATGAACAAAAAAGAAAACTGCAAGAACTCGCAGACAAAGTAATGAAGGAAAATGAGGATTAATGTATTTTGGGCAGGAATAAAGAAAATTGCAAGAATGCGCAGACAAAGAAAGGAAAGGAGGGAGAATGGTATTTTGGGTGGTAGAGGAACAAAGAAAATGCAAGAAGCAGACAAAGTAATAAAGAAATGAGAATTAATGGTATTTTTGGGTGGAAACTGCAAGAATGCGAACAAACTAAAAACAAAAAGGAGAATTTTCTGGTGACGAAGACAAAGTCGCAGACAAAGGAAAGGAGAGTAATGGGTATTTTGGGTGGCAGACGAACAAAAGAAAATTGCAAGAAACTGCAGACAAAGTAATAAAGGAAAAGGAGGAGTAATGGGTATTTGGGTGGCAGAGAACAAAGAAAATTGCAAGAATGCGCAGACAAAGTAAAGGGAAAGGGAGGAGAATAAAGTATTTTTTGGGTGGCAGACGAACAAAGAAACTGCAAGAACTTCGCAGACAAAGTAATAAAGGAAATGAGAAATAATGGTATTTTGGGTGGCAGATGAACAAAGAAAATTGCAAGAATTTTGCAGACAAAGTAATAAAGGAAAATGAGGAGTAATGGCATTTTGGGTAGATGAACAAAGAAAAACTGCAAGAACCTCTGCAGACAAAGTAATAAAGGAAAAATGAGAGTAATGGCATTTGATTGCAGACGAACAAAGAAACTGCAAGAACTGCAGACAAAGTAATAAAGGAAAGGAGAAATAATGGCATTTTGGGTGGCAGATGAACAAAGAAACTGCAAGAATGCAGACAAAGTAATAAAGGAAGATGAACAAAGAAAAGGAGTAATGGCATTTGGGTGGCAGACGAACAAAGAAAACTGCAAGAACTCGCAGACAAAGGGCGGTAATAAAGGGAAAGGAGAAATAATGGCATTTTGGGTGGCAGAGGAACAAAGAAAACTGCAAGAACTCGCAGACAAAAGTAATAAAGGAAAGCGAGAAATAATGGCATTTGGGTGGCAGACGAATAAAAGAAAAACTGCAAGAACTGCAGACAAAGTAATAAAGGAAAGCGAGGAGTAAATGGCATTTTTGGGTGGTAGATGAACAAAGAAATCTGCAAGAACTGCACACAAAAAGTAATAAAGGAAAGCGAGAAATAATGGCATTTTGGGTGGCAGATGAATAAAGAAAAATCTGCAAGAACTTCGGAGACAAAGTAATAAAAGGAAAGGAGGAGAAGGGTATTTTGGGTGGCAGATGAACAAAGAAAAATTGCAAGAACTGCAGACAAAGTAATAAAGAAAAGGAGGAGTAATGGCATTTTTGGTGGTAGACGAACAAAGAAAACTGCAAAGAACTCGCAGACAAAGTAATAAAGGAAAGGAGAAATAATGGCATTTTGGGTGGCAGAACAAAAACTGCAGAACTGCAATACAAAGTAATAAAGGAAAACGAGAATTAATGGCATTTTTGGGTGGCAGACGAAAACGAAAACTGCAAGAACGCGCAGACAAAATAAAGGAAAGCGAGAGTAATGGCATTTTGGGCGGCGAACGAACAAAGAAAACTGCGAACCAAAGTAATAAAGAAATGGCGTTTTGCTGGCAGACAACGAAAACTGCAGAACGCGCAGACAAGGAAAAAGTAAAACGAAATAATGGCATTTTGGGTGGCAGACGAACAAAGAAAACTGCAAGAACTGCACACAAAGTAATAAAGGAAAGTGAGAAATAATGGCATTTTGGGTGGCAGACGAACAAAGAAAAACTGCAGAACTTCGCAGACAAAGTAATAAAGGAAAGGGAGGAGTAATGGCATTTTGGGTGGTAAGAGGAACAAAAGAAACTGCAAGAACTCGCAGACAAAGTAATAAAGGAAAAGGAAAGGCAAGACGAACAAAAGAAACTGCAAGAACTGACAAAGTAATAAAGGGCGAGAATAATGGCATTTTGCAGATGAATAAAGAAACTGCAAGAACTGCAGACAAAGTAATAAAGGAAAGGAAATAATAATGGCATTTGGTGGTGGCAGAGGACAAAAGAAAACTGCAAGAACTCGCAGACAAAGTAATAAAGGAAAGAGAAATAATGGTATTTCGCAGACAAACGAATAAAAGAAATTTTGCAAGAACTCGCACAGAACTCGCAGACAAAGTAATAAAGGAAAAGGAGAAGTAATGGCATTTTGGGTGGCAGACGAACAAAAAACTGCAAGAACTCGCAGACAAAGAAGAAGAAAGAGAGAAGGACATTTTGGTGGCAGAGAAGGACAAGCATTTGGGGTGGCAGACAAAGAAAAAAGAACGCAGACAAAGTAATAAAGGGAAAGCCGAGAATGGCATGGTGGTAGAGGAAGAAAGAAATGTGCACTGCAGACAAAATAAAGGAAAATGAGGAGAATAGATGGGTGGTAGATGAATAAAGAAAAATTGCAAGAATTGCAGACAAGTAATAAAGGAAAATGAGGATTAATGGTATTTTGTTGGCAGATAACAAAGAAAATTGCAAGAATGCGCAGACAAAGTAATAAAGGAAAGAGGAGGAAATGTGGGTATTTGGTGGCAGATGAATAAAGAAAATGCTGCAAGAATTTTAGACAAAGTAATAGTAAAAATGATGAGTAATGGTATTTTGGGTGCAGATGAATAAAGAAAACTGTGTGAATTGCAGACAAAGTAATAAAGGAAAATGAGATTAATGCATGGTTGGCAGATGAACAAAGAAAATTGCAAGAATGCAGACAAAGTAATAAAGGAAAGGAGGAGAATGGTATTTTTGGTGGTAGGAGAACAAAGAAATCAAAAAAGAACCTCGCAGACAAAGTAATAAAGGGAAAAGGAGGAGAAGACATTTTTGGGTGGTAGGAACAAAGAAAACTGCAAGAACTCGCAGACAAAGTAATAAAGGA